ATGATTTATCAGGTGCGTCAGTCGGAACTAACTGATCACAGCTACAATATTAAAACAGAGAAGAAAAGTTGAAGTGTTATGTCAATTTTGTATTCGGCAATCCTTGACCGTGCAAATTATAATTGGACTTAAACTCCAAATTGAAGCGTATTCAAAATTCGAGTAAGATTTGTCACGTTTGAAGCGTGCATGTGTGGGTTGAGTGCGTCATGAGTATCTTGAGTGCGTCATCTGTAGCTTGACTGCGTCATCTATAACTTGAGTGCGTCACTTATAGCCTGAGTGTCTCACTTGGAGCTTAAGTGCGTCATGTGTAGGTTCAGTGCGTCATGTGTAGATTCGGTGCATCCTATGTAGCTTGAATGCATCATCTGTAACTGGTGTGCGTCAAGTATCCATTGAGTGCGTCATCTGTAACTTGAGTGCGTCATCTCGAACTTGAGTGCGTCCCTTATAGCTTGAGTGCATCATATGGGTTCAGTGCGTCACGTGCAGATTCAGTGCACCCTATGTAGCTTGAATGCGTCATCTGTAATTTGAGTGCGTCATTTCTAGCTTGAGTGCGTCATGTGTTTATTGAGTGCGTTGTATGTCTGTTGAGTGCATCATGTGTCTCTAACTTGAGTGCGTCATCTGTAACTTCAGTGTGTCATGTGTAGCTTGAGTGCGCCTGTGTAGGTTGAGTGCCTCTTCTATAATTTGAGTGCGTCATTTATAATTTGAGTACGTCACTTATAGCTTGAATGTGTCACTTATAGCTTGAGTGCGTCATGTGTCTATTAAGTGCGTCATCTGTAACTTCAATGCGTCGGATGTAGGTTGAGTGCGTCATATGTAGCTTGAGTCCGTAGTGGCTGATTACAACCTACCCTAACCTAAACTCTCAACGCACCCAAATGCACATGAACCTCCATCTGTAATTTCATGTCCATGTTTCCAAGATGAAATTTTATAAAAAGCAGCAAAACTACAAGCAGTTTTGTCCCTGTGATATATCGAGAGAACCGGTTCGAACAATATCGGCCATAAGTCTGAACGTAGTTCCCATAATCCTGCCAATCCCGAGTTGCACAGAAAAACCGTTCTCCAAAGCAACTCGAAGATAGGAATCGATACCCGCTGCAATGACCAGATTTATCGCGTGATAAATAGTCTTTAGCAGCCAACGAAACGGTACAAGCGGATCCTAAATTATACGGAAATTCAGTTCTCCAGGGAGTGCGAACAAATAGGAGAAAAATGCCGTTTCAGCCATCTTCATATATGTGTGCGTGCTTCGTGTGAAATACGGGATCTCGAGCGACCACCATGTTTTTACTTAATAAGTATTATCTACCGTCTCGTGAACGTAATCACGTTAGCGTGCACGGCTTTTATGATAATCGCACGTGCAACGACTCTGTAAATCCTCTGCATTCAATCAACGTGCTTCTTGTTCGTTTCTTCGCCAAACAGCTTGATTAATTGCCGGGAATATCTGGAGATTCGCAAAAATAATGATATTGATGGCTTCTATTTTGATTAATTGATTGGGATTTCGTGAAAACATTTCGGAATATTCGTGTTTTTTGAAGTAGGATTATAGGATTGAAAGAAGCACTTCGAAAATTAATTTCGTATCATGTCATTAGTAGTATTAGTTATTAATATCACATCACTGTTACAAAATTTGATTTCCCAACTCTTATATCTGACCAATAAAAACTCGTCTAATTTTAAATCAGATAAATATTTCCCCACAACAAACAAACTCAACGATAAATCCAGCAACACAAGACTTTCAAAAATTTCTAAATAATAAAAACACAACGTCGTGACAACTTATTCGGCGAAATAAATAAATTGTCCCTGAAGAAGCGGTAGAACAGTGGCACGGGGCTTCCTTAATGCACCGGATGATCTTTTAATTAATTATTTAGCCGAGTTATCTCTTGTGCCAGCTTAAATCGCTGTTACTAACGGTTCACGAACCAAGGGAATATCTTTCAGTTATATCAGAAGCGTGTGTATACGTCGCGGAAAAGTCTCAGCATTTCAGTATTAGAAAGTAAAAAGTGCTTTTTAGGGCTTTCAAGAATTTCACAGCGAAGCTTTTAAACGGACAAGCTGAAAAGTTTCTTTGACGATGATACACGAGATCTTACAGTCATTTCGAGGCGAAGCCGAATACGATTTCTCCTACCAAGCGTTCTTACGGCTGACTCTTATCGCGCTGATAAAAGTATAAAATGTGTCACATTCAATTATGTTGTGTGACGAGGTATTTTTAGTTGTTCTTGAAAAGTTACGAGTGATTTTATAGTTACATTTTTTTTAATTAATTGAGGTATTGTTATTTATTATTGTGGGGATGTGTTTTCGTCAGGTATCATGTTACGTATCACATTGGGTATCGTGTTACATATCATGTTACGTATCATATTACTTGTCATATTGGATATCATATATCACATTGGATATCGTATTACATATCATATTACGTATCATATTATATATCTCATTGGATATCATATATCACATTGGACATCGTATTACATATCAATGTTTCATATTATATTATGTATCATATTACTTGTCCCATTAGATATCATATATCACATTGGATATCGTATTACATATCATATTACGTATCATATTACTTGTCCCATTGGATATCGTATATCACATTGGACATCGTATTACATATCAATGTTTCATATTATATTATGTATCATATTACTTGTCCCATTAGATATCATATATCACATTGGATATCGTGTTACATATCGTGTTACATATCATATTATGTATCATATTACAGATCCCATTGGATATCATATATCACATTGGATATCGTATTGCATATCATGTTACATATCATATTACGTATCATATTACATATCACATTAAATATCATGTTACTCAAATGTAACGTGATATTAGACACCATATTATGTTTCAACATGTAGAAGTTAAATAGAAGATAATTCTTGAAATTGGCAATATAAGAAGAGCGTCTCCCAACTAGTCATTCATTTGCAAATTTAAAAATATGAAACCTTACAAAAGTTGAAAAGTTAAAAAGCCAAAAATGTGAACATACGACAATTTTTAATTTAAAACAGTAAAATCTAATTTTGTTTTTACAACAATCTGGCAGGAGATTAAACAGCGGACAGCAAGCGCGATACGAGGAGAATAATGAATCGCGATAAACGTCCGATCTTGAACTTTTTTTTAACGAACACCGATCAAAAGTATCGACCCGATATGGACACCGGTGGATTTTAATTATTTTCATTTTAATCGAGGCCAAAACGGTAATAAATGCGTCGGTGCATCGATGCGAAATGGTACGCAAAAATAAATTAATAAACTTCAATATTGTTGCTGATATTCCTCGTACGTATCGCGTGCACGAAGCAGAAACAAAACATTCGGGAAACGGTCCGAGATAATAATTGTGATTTATGGTCTGGTAGTCATAATTCCAGCATCGACGGCAAATTATGTGTCTGCTTTTCAAAATTGCGCCAACGCACACGTGTACAAGAACGAAACGTACGGATTTCCTTTATTCATCCGGCAGATACGATTTTATTATTCTTTTTACTTGTACAAGACAAAATTTTAATTCTCCGCGTTCATTAAAGCTGTTTCTCGATACGACGTTAAAACGTCGACGAGTTTAATGATATATTTAAACCCTAGTTAGGATTCTATCGCATTTTATCGCTTTCCTTTTGTATCAATTTGCTTTTGTCCGTAATTAATTCTGACTTTAATTAACGCGATAAAGCCGTTCGGAATTGATATAAGTAGCAAATCAAAAATATTCACATTGTATCAGAATAATTCCATTTTATCCTTGAGTTATCTCGATATCCAGCTTTATTCTCTCTCAAAAGCTTTGTAATATTTTTATTACAAAACTCTGTCGGTTTTAAATGAAAAGTTTGATGATTAAAACTTTGTACTGTTTGAAATCTTGATATTTTTAATTTACTATAAGGGTTATATCGATCACATTTGAACGTCATTTTGCTCCAATCAAAATATGTTGTGGTCCATATAAAATTAGGGGGGGTTTAAGTTATCATTTTGCCGGTTTCGAATTTGTTAAGAAATAACAAGCCTTCAAAGTTTGCAATTTTTGC